TCACATGAGGTTGGATGTCTGAGGATTGCCATACTGGCTATTAATCTGAAAATAAGCAGCAGCTGGCTGGCAGTCAGAAGACATAATTCAGTACTTGAAGAATTTAATTCCTGCTGCTTCTTTTGGTTTAGTCTGGCATATGCATAGTGTTTAAAAGTTCTACAGGCTGCTTGGTAAAATATGACATTCCCTTCATCAGCAAATCTTGGGCTGTCAGAGGTGTGTCTTCTAGTGTCAGTAATGGAAACTCATTTTTGTTACTGCTGCATATCCGTTTGGCCCGGTGGGACCAAAACAACTGAAGAAAGTTACACACCGTATTTATGAGGCTTAGTCTCAATTTAATAATGAGTGGCTGGCTGCGAGGTAGAATTAATTTTCTAAGTAGTACAATCTTTACTTGTAATCAGATTCCAGAACGGGAATCTGATTATAACCTTTATCCAGTCATGCTGATATACAAAACCTTGGCTATTGGGTAAGACTAGATAGAAAACAGACTGTGGTGGTCAAGGGTAGGGTTGCTGCTCTGGAAGATGTTGGGATGGGCCTTGTTCTTATATATTTCTTTTTAAAATAGCTTTTAAAATGTGTCTGATACAGCCTGACAGCCAGACCTGTGAGTTTCCTAAGAAAATGTGATAATCTCTTCAAGACATTGTATATATATCTGTGCAGAAGAGAATAGATAGTGCCTTGTACCAGTCAGACCTGTAGGATCTAAAGTCAAAAGCATGCCACTTCAGCAGCACCCTAGAGAAGCCAAGCAGCTTCTCTTGAATTAGGGAACATGTCTGAGATACTGTTTTTCCTTAATGCTTGAATTAGTTTTGAGTAAATACGTAAGCATCTTTTAATGTTTCAGAAGGAACTGTGCTTATGGAGATATTTTTGGCAGTTGTTTTGTCCTGTTATGATTTTCTCTTCTGATCTGTGAACTTATTTTTAATTAAACCACCGGAATCATGTGTTATTTGCATGAGTAAGGATGACAGGGTACACCCTTAGCAGAGATGACACTTGCTGAATCAGTAAATCAAGGAGGGGAAAACAGACAGAGCAACCATTTGAAATAATCCTGTATGAAAGACCAGTGCTAAGACCAGCTTGAACTCTGGCCTGGAGCCATTGCACCATTCCACTTGGGCCAACAACGGAGATAGAGACTGGTGGTTTTATGTGTGTATTTAAAAAAGCTTGTAATCTACAACAGGGAAGGCATATTGCTTCATTTTCATACCCGGGTCTGTATTTGCAAGGACAGAAATTAGAACAAAATATGCTTTCTTTGGTGAAATGATGTGTATATTTTGCACAAGTGGGTGAAATAGCCACACCTTTGGAGCAGAGCCTGCCTTTAAGGGTTAGCTCCCGTTACTGAGTTATAGATGCTCTAAGGGTGTAGGTCCATGTTTCCTTACCAAATGCATGTTTGTGTGCACCAGCACCAAAGCGAGTTCATGCAAATCTGGACACAGATGGAGGTACTATTCTTTCAGTCAGTGTCTTAGTGACACACACACAACTATGGGTTAACCTGGATGAATAAAAATCAGGCTGTTAAGAAGATTCTGAGATGTATCTCATGACTTCTACACAACTAATGCTTTCATCTCACACAAATTATCACTAATTAACCTACACACACTCCCCCCCTGCCAGTATACATTCAGACACCATGCAGGATAAACAAGCCAAACACTGTTATTATCATTTTAATTTGACCATATTGTAGAAATGTCAAAATATTAGCTGGGAAAACTAATTCCTACAGTTTAGCATATGTTTTTCCTGAAATGAAATCAAGGGTAGCAGTCATCTTCCTTCAAGTCCTCCCACAGTATTGCAGGAATTCTTTTCCAAAAATTTATTTGAAACGTCCTCATGTGTTTAACTGGCAGGAAGTCAGAAAATATTTGTATTTCTTTATCCCTTTCCTAACCTTCTTTTTAATGAAGGTGCAAATAGGCTGGAGGCTGCCTGGGGTGGTAGCGGTACCCCCATTTTAGAGATAATCCAACATTAGCCAAATGATACCCTCAGACACCTAAAAGCACTTCACAAACAGTAAAGTTCAATTTTTTGCTGTTGTAACCTTAGGAACTGTCTCTTCTTTCATGGCTTGCTCTGGGGTTTTGAGAGCTGACGGTGAGGGGTGTCCCAAGAACCAGAGAGAACAGTTTGTGACTGGAGGTTAGATGTGGTGTTTCAGGGAAGGCGGATGTTTTTTCCTTCCAGGTAACAGTGCGAATGGTGTGAATAGGCTGAGTTGTTTCTCTGACAACCTGGCTCAGCTTTCTGCTTCCACAAGCCACTGCACACACACTGCCTGTGATTATGGCACAAAAGCAGTTCCCACTACTACACTGCTGAACAGCTTTATTGGGTATTTGAAGAAAGAATTGGGGTCTCATTATTTTTTCATAGAGAAGCCTTTAAATTTGGGAGCTCTTAGAGTGTGCTTTTCTCAAAGTGCATAATTTCTTTTTGGGTCAAAACACAGACCCTTTTAAACCTGTATGTGCTTCTGCTCCTTTGCTGTGCAAACATCACAGTTATTTCAAGGTCCAGTTTACTTTGGTCCTAAAGGTGTCATAAGTGTGGATTTTTTGTGTCTGTGTTCATTACTCATTGTGAGAAGTCAGTACTTGAAGATAATGTATTTGGAATAATGCATTAATGTATTTTAAAAATCAAGAACCACGAACTAGAATATTATTTTAATGTATTTTAGGGTTTATACATTAACTCATAAAATCATAGAATGGTTTTGGCTGGAAAGAACCTTAAAGGACCTTAAAGATCATCTAGTTCCAAACCCCCTGACTTGAGCAGCTACACCTCACACTAGACCATGTCACCCAAGGACCCCATCTAGCAAGTAGTACCACTTGTACGTGAATCTGTCATCATGCCTGTGCAGGCTCTGTTTTGGGCTGCCCACAGCCTTGTGAGGCTGCAATTGATGGTTCCCAAGGCTGGTGTCAGCCCCCCTCTCAGCCCCGTGGGAAAGCTTCAGCCAAAAGGGTTTTGCAAGTTCTCAAGAAAGAGTAAGAGTAAAATGTCTTGATTTGCACAGGATAAAAACCTTGTATATGTTTACTCAAGACATTTATCCTCACCCAGGATGATGTGATGGTTTTAACGTCTAATGCTGAGACAAGTGCAATGCCAAAGCTTTGCTACTAGCTTGACCTGGCTCTGTTGCAGTTTGCACATTCCAGCAGAGACTCATCAGGACGTTGTAGCTGAATCCTTTCAGTGAATTTGGTGCAATGAAACATCCATCCTTCCTTACCCAGGTGACTTTGTTGCTGAAAGACAATACAGAGCTCAGTGGCAGTCTGTGCAGTTGGGTCTTCATCACTGCACATTATGGAGCCATCATCCAAACCTTGTAGATAAGCAACCATATCACAGATCACTGTGCATTTCCAAGGTTATCTCTGGAAATTCTGCATACAAGGTTGTGTTTGATAGCATTTTCTTTCTAATGACCTATGAATTGTTGCTGCATTCTCTATGAAATAATGTTTAAAACTTGCTTGATCTTTAAAAGGAATATACATTGTTGGTTTTGTGAGTGTTTTTGTTTTCCTTCACAAGGATTGAGCAGTGCTGCCTAGAATTGTTATACGGCACCTGCATATATGCCCAAAACATCTTCATTTCTTTCAGTGTAATGATTTTAAGCAACCTGTATAGATATGAGCCAAAACTCCTCTGTATGATCTCCTTTTTTTGTAGGACTTTAACATATTAGGGAATTGTGCAGTATTTGGAATTGCAACTGTGGGATTTTGTTTGATTGTTGGCAGTATATTGGCCCATGCATAGTTTGAATGGATCACATTTTCAAGTGCTTGAAAAAGGGGGCAAAGAATCTCAACCTTCTAATGCTTCTGTGGCTTCTTTGCACATTTTTACTTCTCTGCTGTATCTCTGAATTTTTGCCTGCAGAATTCATGTATTCTTTCCATTGGAAAGACAGGCAACAATGAGGAATGTTCAAACAAAACTAAACAAGTGTTTCCTTCTGAATGCAAAGCATGCAAAGAAGCGTGTAAGCAAATTCATAAATACAGCCCTTTGTTTTTTCTAGCTGGTCAAGTGCAGGTGATGAAAAATCACTGATTAAAAAAGTATACTGTTGAACATTTTCTACTCGGTGTGCATAGGAACACCATGTGCTGCGGCAGCATTTACTTGTATTGAAGTTTCTCCAAGAGGGTTTCCTGTGAGATGCACACGGATTTTCTTATTCTTCTCTTCTTACTGTATATGTAATGCGCAGTACAGATCTGAATTCCCGAGAAGAAGGTATTTATGCAAAATTCAGTGATATTAGCTGAACTATTTCTTGTTGAGGAACCTGAGGAGTATTGAAATCTCCATGAGAACAGGTGGCTGCAAAATTAAGAAATCAAACTCCAAATAAATTGGAGCTAATCAACTGATTGTGTCTTTGATTAGCTCAAATTATCTGACCCTGTGATTTTCATGGTTGCTAGGTAGCTAGTTGATGACATTCCTGAAACTAAAGGTACAATATCATCTCTGACCGATGGATATTTATGTAATCAGTGACACTTGGAAGAGCCTCTGATTTCTTGGTTTGTGGAAGGAATGTACGCAGGCACATGGAGCTATTTAGCTCTGAGGAATGGTTTGGACTTGAGAAAAGGTATCTTGCAATGCCAAAGGTACATTCTTTTCCAAAGCTATTACAGTTTATCAGCAAAATTGTGCAATGGAGTCAGTGGATGCTCAAAATACTTGTATAACACTGAGCAATTTTATGTAAATTCGCTGCTGGGGAGGAGCCCCCAGGATGCAAATGGGCCTTAGAGACGGGTACACAGGTGAAAGGGGGAAGTCAGTCTGGGTATGTTCTTGGGGTGGTGGGCTGGAGAGAACAGGATTGGGGAGGTCACATGCTGTTTTGAAAGAAAATATGTTAGTTGGACTTCATTTGTTGGTTTTGCAATTATGGGGGGATGGAGGAGTAGCAGGCAGAAGGATGTAATAGAAGACTTTGCACTTACAGAGGAGTAATGCAAAAAGTAGTAGGGGTTTATTAGCTATACGGGTACTCTGGTTGAAAATTAGAAGATATCCAGCTGCCAGAAAAATAAGATTTTGAAGTAACTTTCTTATAAGGATAGTGGGGAAGCAACTATTCTTGAAATAGAGGTTAGTCAGCTACAGAATTATTTATACCTTTATCTGCAGCAACAGCCTTGATGATGCTGGAGACCCTTCCAGCATCCTTATGTGCCTGCATTCCTAGTCATGCTGTCTCAGCTCCCTGTGTTACTATGCAACACTTTGCACTTTGGAGAAGAAACCCAGGTAGGCAAGCTGGATTTTTCCTTTGCAAGCCTATAAAAGAGTAAGCAAAGGGTAAATAATATACTTAGGAAGTGTAGCTGTCAAAGTCTCTCTCTAAAACAATGTTGAAGTTATTGCATTCAGAGATATATTATTAGCCAAGTTTATATAATATTTTGCTGGAGGGGCAAAGGCAGGCCAAATACTGGAATCGCCTCTGAAAATTCATAATATCGTTCTTAAGACGACGTGACCTCATGGAAGCCAAGTGATTTCTCAGTAACACAATTTTTCGAAACTTCACATGGCAAAGCAAGCAATGTTCCCTGCCTCAACACCCCACCTGAGTTATGTTGAAAAACATAATTATTCTTGTCACATTCAAAAAAGCAGTCCAGAAGCTTACTCTCCAGAGCTTTATGTTCAATGATTTTGTGTGTTAGGGAAAGCATTTTAATAAGGCAAGTCAGGCATCATCACTTCTCCTACTGATAAAAAGAGAAGGAGTTTTTGTCATGTATTTATTATTTACTAGTCATCATCTTCTATCAACTATCTGTCATTAATAAGGAAAAGAGTTAAACCCCTGCTGCTTGCCTAACACATTCTGAAGGCATTGAGACCTGCAGGCTTCAAGCAAAACATGAATGTGAAATATGTATCTTTCTGCTTTGTTGAATAGGGACAAAACCAGAGATAAACTTGGACCTTGTGCTGTTTTGAAGATCAAAGGACTGATAGATGAACCTGGGTGAATTAACAGACCTGTTGAAATGAGAACTGAAAGGCAGAAGGGAAAAGTTTTAAGGCAGAGACTTTTATTTCATTATTTCTTCTAGTAGTTTCTCACGGCCCACTGAAGGCTACTGTAGAATATGGGATCTAATCTTCTTTGTGTGATCCCAATAATTCCAGCTATGCCAAATACTGGGGAAACCACTTTGAAGTTAACATACTGGATAAGGTTGAGGGAGAAAAAAAGCGTATGATGTGGTGCTCAGCTCAGGGACTCTGTGAGTGCTTTAGGTTTCAGGGAGGCAGAAATGTCTAAAAATTGGACTGCATTTTTTTTGTATTTTGTCATATAAGACTGAGTCTTGTTTGAAGACTGTTAAAAATGTTAACTGGCTCCAGGGGGCTGTTTCTGAATGTCCTGGAGCTTTGGTTCCTGGGCTACAAAATGAGATGATTTATCTGTCCTCTTTCTCTCTTTCCTATATTTAGACTATAACAAGGAGTATTTTTAACTTTGTGAACATGCTATGATTGCTACAATAAGGCTGTGGATGAAGCTGTGATTTCTACATGCCATTGTACTACAATGTTGTCATAATTTCAGAGATTTATGGGAGTGATGTGGGGGAACTCCCACATGGTCAGTGAGGAGATAAAACTGGTTGTGTGTGTGTGGGAATACTGCAATGTGCAAGATGCTGAAGACTGTGTGCCAATTTTTTTTAAACAAAACCACCTTGTTCAACAGTCAGGCACAATTAATATACAAAAGCACAGTTCATCAAGCCTCTTACATGTGGGAAGACAACTCAGACTGATTCTCTATGCTTATTCAGTTTAACATTAGACTAGCTTGTTTAATACAGGAACCTCCCCTGAAGGACTTAAGGTCTATCATGGTATTGAAACAGGTTGCAGCTAGATAGAAATAAAATATGTTTAAAACAAAAAATAAAATATGAGGAGAGAGAGAAGCAACCCTTGGCTTCTCTGAGCTAGAGACATGAGATCTAAAATCCTGATAACTAAAAAAGGTAGAAAATATCCACGTGCTAGGTAAGACCTCTGATCTTCAGGTTGGCGGTCGTGCACTCACTTCACCCTTGCTCACCAAAATTACCTATCAGCCTTTCTCATTTCACTTACACGGGAGATGAGCTGGTCTCCACAAAAGGATATTTTACTGAACTTCCTTGACAACCTGACCCTTTCTGTATTTAGTCTCCAGTCTGTGACATAAATTCTTCTCTGTAAGGGCTTTTTTACTCTTTTCAGAACACTGCGTCACTATAAGGTCAACTTTTTGCTCCCTCCCGACAAGATGATACAGGGGCTAGAGCTGGTAGGATTTCCTGTACAGCTAAGCTTTCTACTTCAACATCTTCCATTAGATTTTTCTCCAACTTCTTAATTTCTCATCCTTAGTAGGACAGCCAGGGACAAGCAAACACTTCAAAATGTGACAACACTATTTTATAACATCAGCCAACATGCTATCATGTTAATGATGGTTTCAACATTATTCATATATTTTTTTGAGCTGTATCTGTAGTTTATGTCCATTTTTCCTATTTTCAATAGGATGTTATTCTAATGTGCATATACTGGTTAAAGTTTGCCAGGGATGACTGAATATGCCCCGAGCCCTCCTGAGGAGCACAAAGCTTTTAAAACTACTGGGAAAATAATTTCACAAGTTTTCTGTAGGAAACAAGAAAACTTCAGTAGCTCAGCCTGAAACAGAGATATTGTGTGGGTATCATAGAAGCTCCCATGTGGGCTAAGTGCCTGTTTCCATCTGTGTCACTGGGGCTGTGAAAGGGCCGGTGAACACCAGAGACCAGAAGGAACATGGGGTCTTAGCATGGACCTGAAAGGAAAAGTGCACGTTTACTTTGAAGACACTATTTAATTAAAATTAACACTCAAAAAATATTGCAAGTTACTTCTTGTTTTTGAGAGTATGTAGGGTTTTGCACAATGGAGTTTGGGTATGTGTCAAGTCCGAATGCAATGTAACTCAGACGTGACAAGCTTTTATTAAGACCAGGGTCAGAGAGCTTCAGCTGCTGAACTGGGAGGAAACTTTTCCCACTGATTGTGAACAGCAAGAAAACTCCTCAACACCAGTGGGGATTGCCAGCTCTTGCTTCCACTAACTCTGCGAATTATCTCATCACTCGCCCAACTGTTCACCTATAATTGCTCACACTAAAAGCAAAAATAAATATCCTGTGACTGCTGAGTTTAACCAGGTGTTAACTCAGACCACTGGCAAAAAGACAGTTTATCTCCTTGTAGTCTGAATGAAGTAATTGGGATTTCTGCTGCTGGCAGGGGAAACTACCCCATGCTGTGCACCCTGCTGGTGGAGGGCTTGCAAAATCTAAGGTAACTCCTTTAAAGTGAGTTTGGCTCAATCTATACAGTGCTACATCTTAGAAAGTGAATACATAAAATGTCATCTACCTGCCTTTTTTTCCCTAGCTAACTGAAAATTATTTTACTAATGCTCACATGTTTTAAGGGCATTTGTTCTGCTTTGTTTGCTCATGCCATGTTAATTTTCTTTTGTAAGAAGATTACTAGAAAGTAATTGAAAGTGCATAATAATAAAAAAAGAATAAAAAAAGGTTGGGGAATACTGGCCTAAAGAGGAAAGGTTATGGATTATGTCTATCTGGCTGGAAAAGAGAAATACAGTGTTAATAATAGTGAAATAATAATTTAATAATGAATCTAATAATAATCTAATAGTAATCCAGAGAAGTTGTGGTTGCCCCATCCCTGGCAGTGTTCAAGGCTGGGTTGTATGGGGCTTTGAGCAACCTGGTTTTGTGGAAGGTGTCATTGCCTGTGACATGGGGTTGGAGCTAGGTGCGCCTTAAGATCCCTTCCAGTCCAAACTATTTTATAATTTTTTAAGAGCTTTGCATCCACTGGTACAACATAGCAAAAAGTCTGCATGAAATGCTCACCTAGGTCAAGAAGTATTCAGAGCACTTTTTTCTGAGTAAATGGATAGCCTAAAACCATATGTAACATTTCCCCCAATACGTGAATATTCATGTACATTGGACTGTGCATTATGCAGCCTCTGTCTGCTGATGTTGTTAATCCTCCCATGCTCTTCTGAGTTTGACTCCTCTCTTCCGTGGTCGACACTGTCCTGGTCAATTGCTACAGCTCACTGTTGAGGCAGCCTGTGCTGTGATAGTATCTACAGCCTTTATTACTTTCCCCCATGGCACAGGAGTGCTTATTTTTGCCCTTCAATAAAAAATATTTCTAGGATTTTCCTCTAGTCACTAAGAGACTTTATGCCCTACTGCCTGTGGATTTCATCACTTTTATGTGACACAAGCAAGGATGTTCTGGATCTCTAGAGGAGGTATGCTGCCTGTGGAGTGTGAGGAACAGCACTGGCCCCTGGGAGTTTGCTGGCAAATAAATGAAACAAGGCAAAGAGCAGAAGGTTGACGTGTGTGATTCCTCAAGCATCAGAGATCAAGCTGGGATCAGGACCTATTTTTGACCTCTAGCCCAGTGTAACAGGTCCCACATAGGCTTTCCTGCATCCTTAATTATAATTGGTCTCGTAAGCATTGCCAGATTTAATTTTGACACGTCTTCTTTCATCATCTTATTCAGAATATGTACTTTTTTCCAGACTCAATTGTATATTAGTGTCTATCTTGTTGCTGTAGTTGAAGTTCTCTTCACAGCTAGAGATCAAATTTTACCCTTTAACAGTTTTTATGTCCTTCACTCAGCATCATGTAGTAGGAATTTTTGTCACACGCTCAGATTACTCCCTGGCTATAAAAGCATTTCCACTTGGGCTTCTGCCAGAATCTGTGGTGAGGTTTGTAGAGGCACAGTGTTTTTCTTGATTTTTTTTTTTTTTTTGTTACTAGCCTGGTTTGTTCTAGTTCCTACTACCTCTTTCTAAAAAATAAAGTTCAGTTTCCCTGACACCGGTTCATTGTCTCCACATGTGACCAGGAATGTAAAAAACTAATTTAAGATATTGTTCTGTTACCGCTGCCTCTGCTGCGGCCAACTTGCCTCTACTTTTTCAGAGTTATTACTCTTTTCAGTTGGTGCCTCTTATTTTACATGTGGGAATGACATCCTGTTATCTCTCAAGTGCAAACTTCATTGTGTTCTTTGCTCCAGTTTTAGCTGTAACGTTTTCTTCTTTGCTTTTCTGGGAATGTTCCCATCTGTCTCCTCTGTGGGATCACACATGTTATTCCTCTCAAATGCACAGATTTTCTTTCTTTCTTTTTTTTAAATTTTGCTGTTGGTCACTCTTTGTAGTTCCTTATTCCTCCAAAGTGGCTGTGATCCATACCCATCTACCACCATTGGTCTGCTCTCATTCATTACCATTTAGCAGTGGAAAAGTAAATAGCAACCACAGTACTGTATCTCTTTGAATGCTTTTGACTTTTTTTTTTTTGAGTATCACGTTATCAGATATTTTCCAGCACTTGTCTTATTCTTGAAAATGTGCCTAGCCCAGATTCCTCATCCTTCCTGAACAAGGGCCTCTGCTGATATTGTAGAGCTTCTCATTACAAATCATTAGGCTGGGCCTGCCGTGACTTGGACTGTCCACACTTTCGTATCTATTAGTTCTGGCTGTGCTTCTGAAAAGAGCCATGCTCCCCTTGTGTAATGGTTTCCGCTGCCACCTTCTCAGCAATATGTAGAGAAGGCTGTCTCACTGGACATGTAGCACTCTAAGTGTCTCCTGTTTCTCTTATTGGTGGTGACACCTCCAACAAGGAAGCAGTTTAGTGTTGTTGTCAGCTGGTTTTATTTTGTAATAGGTCTAAAATTTCTAAAGATGAAGAAACTCTTTGCTTCTTGAGCTGGGCACCCTATCTATTTTCTCTAAATAGCTGAGTCTTTTCATCTATTATAACATAATATCTTGTTGCCAGTGAAATCTCTGCACTCTTTTTTGTCCGCCTTTCCATAGCGAAATCTTTCTGCCCTACTGTGGTTAATTTGAAACATAGTAAGATAATTCAGATCTTTTGCATCTAAATCTGTGGACGACCAGTAGTCGATAAAGCTCCTGAGCTTTCTGAAAAGTATGTAAGTCTGAAAAATATATCATAAAATATAGTCATATGAGAAAGAGAAGCAACTATGGTCACATTTGCAAATGACTGTAAATACATAGGGATAAAACCAAACCCCAACATATTCTAAGTAATTAAAATAAAAAAGAACAGGTTATGGTAAAAATAGGTTCTGACTGTGAGGCCTTCTTGGGATAAACAGGCTCCAGAGGAAGGACCAAAAGCATTTTAAAATGTCTGGATGCTGAAGCAGTGTGGATGTTTCTTTTTGCAGGAGCTATAGTAGGTGGTTATATATGGGAAGGTCCGTGTGTTAGACAACAGTTTCAATGCAAATGGAGTCAGACTGTGACTTGGTTTATTCCAGACTTGATTAGTTGTGTAGAAATTGGCAGCTGTAGTTTTGTTGTAGTAAGATCATAACATAACTGGTTAAGCAATTCTGCTGGAGCATCAAATGAGTTAAGGACTTCTGTAGTCATAAGGCTAGACGCTTTGCTGTTGTAAAATGCACGATAGCTCTAACCTCAACAAAAATCAGATTGTCTTACACTGATTGCGGGCGTCCTCTCCATCTTTTCTTTTAACCTAAACTTGTTTTTTTCGTTGAAGCTTTTTTTTTTTTTTTTTTTCTGGGAAGATTAGTGTGGATTTGAAGCCCAGCTACATCAGCTATCGCTGAAGCTAAATCACTGCCTGTCACCCATGCTTGAATACCCCCTCCCAGCTCCCTTAGGGATGTATTTTGTCCAATTACTACAACTTCTAGGCAAAGCTAGCCTTTGAGACAGACTCATGGACTGGGGAGTAAATCACTTCCCTTGAGCCCTTGAAGAGCTCTTGGAGCATCAGGACTGATAGCCTTTCCAGCCATTTTTTCACTCCTGATTAGATCCTGCCTTACTTTATCATCTTGTTTACAGTGAGATTTTCCTTAGGAGAAAGAAGAAATCAAACAGCTTCTTTTCTATTAATTCTCATTTGGGAAAGGTAGTGCTGGATACAGGTATTCTCAAAATTAATGTCAGAAGATATGATTTCTGTTTTCAATTCCCAGCTCTGCTATTCATTCCTTCTGAAGTGAGGTAAATTGCACATTCTGCTTTTTTCTTTTGCAGCATTTTTGGTTGGGTTTCTGGTCTTATCTTTCTCCTGATTTCTTTTTTATCTATTTAGATGTTGTCTTGAACAGTGTGCAGTCAGTCCCACTTTGCAGCAAAAGAGCTGGAGCACTGATAACTCCAAAGTCATGTCCTATAAAGCAATTTCATTCCCAATATGACTGATGGGTGTTTCATCAAGTGTCAAGGCACCTGGTTCCTCTTGTAATCAAGGGAATGTGTTGAAGGTCAAACGTACTGATTTGTACCTAAGCAAGGATGATGGCTCTCAGCAACTATACTCTGGTACCTGAGATGGGGGACTTCCTCCTTCTAGAAGCATAACAGATATTGGGTAACCTCTATTGGGATCTGAAAAATGACACTGTGTGAATGGGTAGAAAGATGTATTCCAAAAGTCTAATACCTCAATTCAAAATTGCCTGGAAGGCAGCATGACGGATTGCCAGCAGAATTTAATCCTTAATGAGTTTCTTCTCTGACTTTATAAAGCCCAGTGTGGCTTAACACTTTTTATCAGCTTTGGTTCAAACACAGCATCTATTTGGATGGAATTACTTTTTGAAGTCACAAGGGAAAGAAAAGCAAGGAAGAAACAAGATGCATGTTTGGAAATTTTGTTTCATTGTTTGGTTTGTTTTTGTTATTTTTTATTTTTTTCAGTATAGGTGTAAAACTGTATGTTGAGCAAATTCTTCTTGGAACAATAATTTTTTCAGTGCACCCTCTCTCTCCAATTTCGGTTCACTTTCTCCCACAACTCTGATATCAATTTCTCTGATTCTTATTCTTGTTGTTCATAGAATCATAGAATAGTTAGGGTTGGAAGGGACCGTAAGATCATCCAGTTCCACCCCCCCTGCCATGGGCAGGGACACCTCACACTAAACCATCTCACCCAAGGCTTCGTCCAACCTGGCCTTGAACACTGCCAGGGATGGAGCATTCACAACCTCCCTGGGCAACCTATTCCAGTGCCTCACCACCCTTATAGTAAAGAACTTCCTCCTTGTATCCTGTCTAAACTTCCCCTGTTTAAGGTTTAACCCACTACCCCTTGTCCTCTCACTACAGTCCCTAATGAAGAGTCCCTCCCCAGCATCCCTATAGGCCCCCTTCAGATGCTAGAAGGCTGCTATGAGGTCTCCATGCAGCCTTCTCTTCTCCAGGCTGAACAGCCCCAACTTTCTCAGCCTGTCTTCATACAGGAGGTGCTCCAGTCCCCTGATCATCCTCGTGGCCCTTCTCTGGACTTGTTCCAACAGTTCCATGTCCTTTTTATGTTGAGGACACCAGAACTGCACACAATACTCCAGGTGAGGTCTCACAAGAGCAGAGTAGAGGGGCAGGATCACCTCCTGTGACCTGCTGGTCACGCTCCTTTTGATGGAGCCCAGGATACGGTTGGCTTTCTGGTCTGCAAGCTCACACTGAAGCCGGCTCATGTTCATTTTCTCATCGACCAGCACCCCCAAGTGCTTCTCCGCAGGGCTGCTCTGAATCTCTTCTCTGCCCAGCCTGTAGCTGTGCCTGGGATTGCTCCGACCCAGGTGTAGGACCTTGCACTTGTCATGGTTAAACTTCATGAGGTTGGCATCAGCCCACCTCACAAGGGTGTCAAGGTCCCTCTGGATGGCATTCCTTCCCTCCACGGTATCAACCGAACCACACAGCTTGGGGTCATCGGCAAACTTGCTGAGGGCGCACTCAATCCCACTGTCCATGTCAGCAATGAAGATGTTGAACAAGACCGGTCCCAACATCGATCCCTGAGGGACACCACTCGTTACTGGTCTCCAGCTGGACATTGAGCCATTGGCCACAACTCTTGGGTGTGGCCATCCAGCCAGTTCTTTATCCACCCAGTGGTCCATCCATCAAATTGATGTCTCTCCAATTTAGAGACAAGGATGTTGTGTGGGACAGTGTCAAATGCTTTGCACAAGTCCAGGCAGATGGCATCAACTGCTCTACCCCTGTCCATCAGTTCTGTAATCCCATCATAGAAGGCCACCAGATTGGTCAGGCAGGATTTCCCCTTAGTGAAGCCATGCTGGCTGTCACCAAGCACCTTGTTGTTTTTCATGTGCCTTAGCATGCCTTCCAGGAGAATCTGCTCCAAGATTTTGCCAGGCACAGAGGTGAGACTGACTGGTCTGTAATTCCCTGGGTCATCCATTTTCCCCTCCTTGAAAATGGGGGTTATATTTCACCTTTTCCAGTCATCGGGAACTTCACCTGACTGCCATGATTTTTTGAATATGATGGCAACTTCATTTGCCAGCTCTTTCAGGACCCGCAGATGGATTTCATCAGGTCCCATGGACTTGTGGATGTTCAGGTTTTTAAGATGGTCTCGAGCCAGATCCTCTCCTATAGTGGTCCCAAGGTCTTCATTCTCACAGACCATGCATGTGCCTTCCAAGACTTGGCTGGCATGGTCAGAGCCTTTGTCAGTGAAGACTGAGGCAAAGAAGTCATAGTGTTATTATTAATAGAATATCATTATTACTTGAAAGCAAATAAGGATGATATGACATACTGACTTGTTAGTTTTTAAAGTATTTTATCTTTTTTATCTATTTAATTTCTGGAGTTTGTAGAAATTACTTGTGTTTGTGCAAAAAAGTATTTCCCATCAAAGATCCAGGCAACGCAATGTTTCCCAAAATATTTCTTCTATAAATGCTAATTAACCATTTTGAAAGCTTTCTGACAGAAGAAATAATACCCAGTGACTTAGGTAATCAGTTGTAGAATATGAATTGTGAATAGCTATCAGAGAACATGCTATACCATAGTAGTGGTTGGTAAAACTGAGTGAGTGGTCTGTTTGTCGAAATATCTGATCTCAGGTTCCTTTGCATAACAAAGATATTTCTAAAGGTTTGGCCATTTCTAGTTTGGTATATGAACTGGAGGAATGACTTGATCTGTTCATTAAGCATTTATGTGATTATTTCACACACATGCCGGTATTCCCAATGAATAGCTAGACAGTATGCTGTTATGGCCCTGTACACACTTAACTGGTAGCGCATATGTAGTTTTGCAGAAATGAGTTGGACATGTTCACAGGCATCTTCATGAGACTGAGGATTTGGAAGCTGCCAGTGCCATTCGCGCTCTGGTGCCACAGTGGCATTTTGATCAAACTTTGAAAGGTTAGGGTGCCTCTGTAGGATTTTCTAGTGCTTCTGATAATCTCAGCAGGTTGATAACTGTGCCTCTGGCCTACTGAACAGAGATTTGTTTTTGATGGTGCTTATTTTTTAGAACCAGTCTACTATTTAATTTTGATGCAAGCATGTAACATGAAAGGCAACCTTGAAATATTTCCTTTGAAATCAATGATGTTACATCTTCTTTACCAAGACCCGAGCTAAGTTGCAGTGCTCTACATACCACGTATTATGCTTAGCAGCCTAGTACTTAGTGTATCAGTGCAATTGTGAGTAGATATCATTTATCATGGAGACAAAGGGAGTTGTTTTTTTTTAAGGTTTGCTGCTTGCAGTATATTCAGTATCTTATATACGTAAGCTCTCATTTTCATTAGAGTACCTGGTCTGCAAGATTTTTCATTATGCTTAATGGAGAAATATGACTGAAGAGGGGAGAATAGTAAAGCTGACACATTTTCGGTAAGTTTTGTAATGAAATTCTCCTCTATGCCTGTCTTTGTGATGAGGACATTTTGCTGAAATACTTTTGTCCCCCATTACATATTAGAATCTGCACTGCTTTTTTCATTATAACTTTCTTTCTTATAAAGTTGAAGAATATGTGTTTTTTGGTGAAAAGAAAACCCACTTCCATAGTGCAGCCCTTTGCGCTTCAAATTCTATTAAATTTTGACTCCTAGGATGTGGATGGCATCATGACTGTTGTTGATGTGCCACAAGGGACAGAGGCAATCTGGGTGATGTCAAATTAAGACCTTTTAGCTATTTATGCTTTGCTGGACCAGCAGTTTCAGGCTAACCCATATTTATCGTTCTGATGCTAATTTGCGTGCGAGCAGTGGTAATATTGGCTGATCAGTAGTTCTTTTGAGAACTTTTGATGAACGTTAGTCTACGGTTTTATAGCTACAAGTTCTTGAAGAAATTAATATTTTAGATGGGAAATAGAAATGAGAGTGCATATGAGCCTAAAAACCAAAGGGAGAGAATGCTTGTTTATGTGAACATATCTTGTAAGCAAATAAGGAAAAAAGTATTAATTACTCTGCACATCATTTCTCACTAAGACAATCTTCTTTCAGTCTGGTTCCCAATCCGCCTTTAACAAAAGCAGCTGGTAGAAGCAGACCAGATAGGTAAATCTCATTTGTATAAATATATCAGTGTATGAATGACTCAGTCTCAGTTTTCCACTCTAATTGTCCCAAGTTCTGTAAGAATAATGGCCTTTTCAAGTATTTCATTAGTATCTGTGTCACTCTGCTACCAGTCACCCAGCTGCTGGTATTGTGAGTGCTTACCTCATGACTAGACATCTGCAGAAAAGCAGAGTGCACATTTGCAATGGAGTCCATGAAAAATGAAATTGTGAAGCTCGTGTATTTGTGCCTCACTCAGCACCTTCTGTGCCAGCCCCATGGAGCAGCCTGTCCACTCAGGCAGGTAGGGAAAACCCCTACAGAAATAATTTTCTCCAAGGTAGCTTGCAGAGAAAGTGGTGGTAATGTAAATTTTTGCAAACTGACAAACCCGCTGTATCAGAACTACAGTTTTTAGACATTTCATGAAATGTAGTAATATTTCCTATTTGGAAGACTAAGTGAGCAAATGACTCTTCATTATACACTGACTAATGTTGCTGGTGAAATGATTTACAGAGATTATTAATGGCTTCTATATATGCTGCTCAGATGTGTAAGATCTCAAAAAACCCCAGTGACACCACCCCTTGAATCAAACTCACTGCGGTCCTGCAGTTAATGAAGTGACAACATATACTCAAAAATGTTCAGCATTGCACCAAAAAGGAGCCCAGATTTTATAAGTATTCTGTTAAGTGCCTGCAAAAACATGTGATGAAGATGGATAGGACAGTTTGGTAGAGAAGCAGCAGCTTTTAGGAGCCATCTGTGTTTTTACTGATGAGAATGAATTTTAACTAATGAAACTTCAGTGATGAATGTTGTGCACATTGCAGCAACTACACAGTGTGATTAGATTTCACATAGTAACTTCAAAAAGAGAGGTGGGAAATCCTGCATGGAACATCTGTCTTATTTTCAGCTGCAGTTGAGTGATGCTGTTTATTTGGTTTTGCCCCCAGTTCTGAATTGATGAATCCTGATGGAAAATTTCAGAGAAATTTTGCAAACTTTATTTAAAGAGCAAATGTGCTTGAAGATGTGGAATGATCGTATCCTTTCCAGAAGTGATCTCTGTCAGATAAGGTCAGGGTTGGTAATCGTGTCCCTGGAATCTAAAGATCTGGACTTCTTTTTACAGCGCAGCTTACCAGAGCTTGCTTAAAAACATAAAAATGAAGATAAAGGAAATCCTGATGGAGATTAGTGATCCTTATGTATGTTAATAA